ATTGCAACGCCTTATGTAAATAGCTTACCTGGCACGAACCCTTTTCTACTGTTGGCTCATTTGCACATAATTGCGTATCGTAAATATTTTCAAACTTGCGCGCGTACACATTTCTACAGTAAGCCTGATCGGCTATTTTAATGTCCGCGACATATAATCGTGTAGTTTTCTCTCCTTCAAACTGTAAGTACACAAAGTACAAAAATATAAGCGTGACTTGTGAAAACAATTTAAAATATGATTGTCGAAGACCTAGCTTCTGGCAGTCTAAATGGTTGAATTGTTAAGAAACTTACCGATAATCTGCCGAAACCCGATACGACTGCTTTCGTGCCGGCCGTAAAGTTTTGATTTGTTAGAGTAACGGCATGTACCAGAGGGGAAAATTTAATTGGAGATTGAAGCTGAAAATGAATTTTCTATATATACTTTTGCACAGTCTTAATTTTCAAATTGCTTAATTTAATTGAAACTATATATGTGTTGATTGCTATTATATTAACTCTATGTTACCTTAAGTAAAGCGATATCGTGGATCCATGAATCGTAGAAATTGTAATCTTCGTGTATATAAGAGGACTCGATCAGATGTACCGCATGCGGTTCTTGTAGGTCTATTAGTCCTACATTGGCCGAAATGGTGCTAACGTCTACACTGTAAAGAATATCACGAACATATAGAACACATTTTTATATCTATATACAGTTTATAATGCTGAAACGTTTCTTTAGATTCTCATATTTACCCATCTACACAGTGAGCGGCAGTCAGTATGTTATACTGGTCAACTATAACTCCACCGCAACGGTGTTTCCCTGTTTTAATATATTGAAGAGAAACCTGAAATAATGTATTTTGTGACAACAAGATACAGAGATTTATGAATATTATTACACATCTATTTTTAGAGTAGACTCAGCTGAATGAAAAATGTTAACTTAATCTAGTTTGAAATTCAGTTCAATGTTACGCATATTTTTTAGACAGAGCAATTAATGTAATAATATTAATTAATAGCAATTTGTTAGCTTACTTGGTATGGAACTTCACCCGGTTGGGCAAATCTTCCCCCCACAATTTGCCTATCTGTTTTCCTTGGTACGCCTGCATTTATATTTGTTATTTCATTTAAATTTAATTGCACTAAATTAAACGATCGCAAAGCCGATCAATTTGTCTGTCAGATTACTCACCATGAGCAATAGCGAATAAAGGGATTAAGAACAATAACTGTATCGTCATCGTTAGTAGTCTTGTGCGACGCGCGGTATCAGCTGATTACTCTAAATCTGATGTTTATGACACACACTTGAATATTTGTCTGTAAAATGTATAAGTTTAAATTACATAAGATTAGATAGGATATCTCATGCGTGTTGATATTTAAAGTAGTTTTTAATCTACTTGGGATACTATCTTGCTCGCGACTTATGTTATCATTTTCTTATTGACTTTTATCATTAATAAAACATTGATGAGTCTTCAGTATCGTGTAACTTTCTATGTTATACATAAATCTAACAATAAATGTATAAAATATCTTGAAGTATTATAGTTATCTTAGTGATAATAATGATTTCATAAAAAGAAAGATTTATCTTCTGCAGTTTCTAATCGTTAAAAATTTATTACGTAATTTTATACTTTGTTCGCCTTTCGCGTTTCTCAAGTCGCAACTTGGTAAATTTTAATT